TTAAAAAATTACACAAAAAATGAGAAATTTCAAATAGTTAATTTGATACTAATATCGATATATTTTGTCAAATTTTTATGATATCTTCAAACATATATTTTATTCAAAAATAAAAACATCATCGCTTTCTCAAAATCACATGAAGCCATATTATAACATTGACAGATAAAGAATAAAATAAAATATTAAAATCACGATGTATCTCGATGCATTGCACGAGTACGCTTCTTGTAAATTCTATATATAATTAGAAAACAAACGAGATTCGAACTTAGAAAGAGTTTGTTATAAGCCCATTCGGTAGAATGTGAAGGCCTATTTCGTTTTCAGGCCCACGTATCTTGGGTTTTGGTTGTCTTGTCTATGCTTGCTTGGCATTCAAGTAAGCAGTGATGGTCTAATAAATAGACAAATTAATCATTAACTTGATAATATATGAATAAACAAATTTAATGTATAATATTTAGACAAAAAGTTGATTACCAGCAACTTCAATCAGTCCCACATAGAGCCGATCTCCAAGGATCCCAATGAGAGAGGACGTTTTTTTTTACTCATTCAACAACTGAGGCTAGCGGAAGGACTCGTAATCTTGTCTTGTATTTGAACAAAATCGTCCTACTTTTTTGTCTAGAGAAATTTCATGCATAATTTTTATTCTTACTTCTTTAAGTGAATACAACACTCATTTTATGTTAATTCATATAAGTTGTGTTAACTGAACTTTAGAGGTACATAAGCTGATATGTGCAGTAACTTGAGCTGTAGTTGTTTATATCTTGTGCATATAGGGCTTCTACCATTTGAAAAACTTATAGCAGTCAAAACTAAATCTATCTAGGACTATCATAGATGTAAGAAGAAGTAGAAACAAGGGTATAAGTCTTATATACTCTAAGTATATATGTTGGTTATGTAAGTGGTAATAGATTAATTGTTTATGTAAATGTGACTTTGGGTGATCGGTATCAACACTAAGGACATCCTAAACACATGGTATTCCATCAACTACTATTCAGATACGAATATCATACCTCATTTGACATGTGGATAGCCATTTGCATAAGACTTCCTAATCTGGATAATCTGTGATAAATTTTGAATAATTGGTTACAAATTTTCTTTATGCTTATTAAATGTTACTGAATTTTGTTTTCTTTTGAACTATGACTTGTATTCTTATTTGGAACATGAATCACTTGATCACTTGACTTGTTAGATTGTATCTATTATAAACTCGTACTATAGACTCAATTTTGGGAGCACCGGTATTGAGATGCTTCCATGGCGAATAAAACTATCATGGCGTCATCAATTATATATGGTCCTTAAAAACGGACTTGATAAAATACTGGTCAATTAGAGGGCGTATGGATCGACCTTATGAACCAAAATAAATTATAGTCGTGGTTAAATCCACGACGAGAATTGTTGTGCTGTGCTCGCACCCTTTTTCTTACTCATGTCCGAACGGACTGATCATCCTTTGGGAATAACGCGTCCTCACGATGCGGTTTGGTCTTCGAAACATTTTGACTTTCTTTTGGATTATCACTTAACGTTATAAATTGCTTTTGAACTTGTTGTCTCACTATGATTTAGTTATTATTATCCATTCACTAAGCATTAAGCTTAGCTGAGATTTTCTTTGTCCTCGGCAAGTACATGACTTAGCAAAGATTTTGAGATAAGAGCTACGGAGATGACAATAATGAAGATAACTCATTAGGACATATTTTTGTTAAGTTTGTGATGACTAATGTAAATATACTTATATTTTGAGACCTTATTTTCATACATGTTGTTATCTTCGTTTGTGGTTATTTAATTATCTTTTGGTACATTATATTAGTTGCTCTGTTTTATATAATGCGTTGAATTATATTTTTTTTAATAACCAATTGTGGCGTTTTCTATCTTCAACCACGCAGGATGAGGGTGTTACAGTAAATGTAGAATCTGAATTAAAAATAAACTCGATTAAAAGGAATAATCTCGTAAGTACGATTGGTTTTGAACTTTTAATAATGTATTATCATAAATCTCAAATGAACATACAAACAAAAGAGAAGAAGTTAAATTTTGAAAAAGAAAAATTAATATGGTCTAATATTATTTAATAAGGATATAATAATAAAATATAACATGTACCAATACAAAAGATAGTTGTAGTGGACAATATGTAATTTAGAGGTTGTTTGTTTACCTTTTAATAATTTTATTAAGAGACAATATTTAAATCGTTAAGAGGTGAATCTTGTTTGATTAAAAAAAATTATCTCTTAATGATTATAAAACCATCTAAATGATTTTGTATCATGCACCTCGTTTAACCATTCGCCTTAATTTCGTTGTAAATAATATTAAACAATTATATTTTATTTTACATTATATCATAAAAACCTTTTAATTATTCTGACCACTTAATCATTATCCATCAAACTATTAATAAACTATCAAACCACCCCTTACATCTTAATATCACGTGATACCACAATTGTAAATACTTGAAAAATAATTATGATAATAACAAAATAATTATTCGAAAAACATTAATTTTGCTTTCGCATAATTTTCAGTTGAACCCCCTTAACAATCAATGAATTCCCATTTTCCACGATATCGAGAATTTTTTACCAATGGGTATATCCAACCCCTTGACCTCCGTCATTCTACTCTTCTTGTTACCTTTACCTTTCAACTCATCCAAAAAGTCATGTTCGGTTTCAACCAGTTCCAACTTCGATATATTGAAAACCAATGTAATGCCCTCGACCTCCACAGAAAATCCTCTTCCGACCCCAGTTAACCCGAGGACCGTAATTTTCTCAAGAACCAGGCCTTTCTCGAGAGCAAACGCACTTTCTTTCACATCTGACCACACTTTCACCACGCCCTTCTCAACCTTTGCGGTAAAATCGATATAAGTTGATTGACCGTTTCCCAATTTCATCTCGGGAAGCTCATCATTATCTAGATAAAGATTTCCTTTCGCCTCCCCTTCGGTGGCCCCGGCCGGAAAAGTCACAATGAGGGTAAACGGTGTCGTTCTTGCTTCTTTTGATACCATTCCTCCTCTTTGCATAGGAAGAATGGTGTTTTGATATAAATGGACATTGATCACGTGCAAGGGAGCATCCACCGAAAAAGACTCGGTTTCCTTCGAGACAATACCTCGACTCAAATCGAACAAATTGTACCAAGTTCCGGGAGGGAACATTACGCTTATTTTCGTTTGATGCTTGTCGAGAACTGGCGAGACCATTACGCTACTTCCGAGCAAGAATTGCGTGCTTAATCCATAAAGTTTTGTGATGTTCGGGAATGAGAAAAAGAGCGGGCGTGCAATGGGCGAACCTGTCGTGTGCGCCTCGTAGGACAACGTGTACAAGTAAGGAAGAAGCTTGTACCGCATACCTAATGCGTTTCTAGCCGACTTAGCTACGGACTTCCACCGGTAAAGCTCTTGTCTTGGGGAATAGTAGTTGGCGTGGTCTCTCGAGAAAGGGTAAAACGCTCCCAATTCGATCCAACGGTTGCATAACTCTTCGGTTGGCGCCGGGTAAAACCCACATATGTCCGACCCAACCATTGGAATGCCAAATATCCCAAAATTCAACATGGTAGACACCGAATACTTGAGATCATCCCAAGTTCCCTTGTTGTCTCCGGTCCAATGGGCTGCATACCGACCCGATCCCACAAATGTAGACCGGGTCAAGATAAAAGGGCGTTTTCCCTCGAGGCCTAGAAGGCCTTTGTGAGTGGCGATGGTCTCAGAGAACCCATATATGCTATGTGCATCGTACTCCAGGACGCCGTTATAGTGAACCGCACTTGTCGGTATAGTCTTGTACCCGATGGGCACAGGCGTTCCCGATGCATTGATCTTGTACGGCGGCTCGTCCCATCTCGTTTTCGTGATGTTCTTGCAATCCAAACAACAAATCCAACCGGGTCCAGTACCACTAGGGCACTGCTTTCCTTCAGGTATCTTGCATAGGCCTGAACAAAAATTTGAAGCCTCATTCATGTCTATCCAAAGCCCGTCTATGGGGACAAGCTCATGAAACCTCCGGATTTCATCAGCCCACCAAGACACGGTTTTCGGATTGAGGAAGTCGGGGAAGTTAACTGGCCCAGGCCAGACTTGGGCCAAATACGGCTTCCCGTGGTACTTGATGAAAACATCATTAGCAAGTCCTCGTTGGTAAGTTCCATAACTGGAATTAACGCCGATTCCAGGGTCATTAATGACGATGTACTTGATGCCATGGGAATGTATACGGTTCAAGAAGTCGAGCAGTTTTGGGCGAGGGTAAGTCTTGGGATTTAGCGTGAAATCTTTGTGTCCGTCCATGTGATCGTCATCATTCCAAATAACATCGAGAGGAATTTCGGCCTTCCGGTAGTTTTGGACGACGTCTTCGACCACAGATAGATTGTGGTAACCCCATCTGCATTGGTGAAACCCTACAACTCGAAAACGATATGCAAATCAAGTTCGTAGTTTGGATTTATGAATTATTGGTTTATAAAATAGATATTTTGACCATTAATAAGCGCACATGTTTCTGTTCGTGCCATGGGGACCTACACACATTTCTTCTTGTATGGCCAAAAAGCAACAAAATCTTGAAAGATTCTTGTTGGAAAAGAGACACCAAATCGATTCGATTCAATGCTAACTTGAACTATAAAATTTGACTCTAAGCTACTATAATACGTGTGTCTGTGTGTAATTAGCTCAACTTTCAGTAAAGCTTATGGAATTTGATTTTCATGGCTCTGTTTCCGAGACCTCTGATCAGTCAAAATATTCGGGGGAGTGCTAATGGCACCGCAAGCAATTGGGAATGTAAAAAGCATGTATTGATTTTGATGTGTGTGAAGAAGAAATTCATAGATAGGGATGCATTAATCAATGAATAATTTAGCCCACCCCAATATACTTTAAGCTGGTTTGCTTGTACTGACCTAGAGACCAGTAGGGCATAGGAGCAGGGCGACCAATAAGCTGAGTATACTGATCCACAACAGCAAGGGGAGAAGGTCCCGAGAAGAAGTAGAAGTCGAAAACACCACCGATTACTTTGTATGTCAAGGACGTCCCCCGGTACAACACATCCATTCCATTACTGTTCAGCAGCAATACCCCATGTGCATTTGCCTTCCCGTCCACATTCCTCAAATCCATATACACAGGGTGCGATCCATACAAATCCATATTCAGGTTAATCGCCGATTGATCCGTCGTCCACAGCGTGTACGGATCGTTTGGGTACAGCTTAATCCCGTGCGGCTGCGTGTTTTCTCCCAGCCCGTACAACGACGCATCTTTTGGCAGAGACGTTGAGATCTCCAGATACTGATCTTTAAACACCAGGGGATTGAAAGGGGAGGATTCGTCGGAGGCGGAATTGAAGAGCGTCTCACCGTTGGATTTCCTTCTCACAGCGAACGAAAACGGATCGGTGATGTAGCTGAATATCAACTCGCTGCCGGCGTATTCTGTGGCGGTGATGGTGGTTCCTGGTGATCGGCCGATGGAAGGCGGTGGAGGTTGTTCTCTTGGTAAGAGGTCGTACGGTACTTCCCATCTTTGCTGCTGTGCATCGGTGATGTGTACCCTCAAACGCTCATCCGTTTCATGCCTGAAAATCCGACAGAGACAGTAACCGACAGAAGAAACTACTATCAGTAATTACATTACAACTCCTTACATTATTAAAAATGTAACACATTACCCCCCTAAACTACCATGAAACATATGTAATCTAGATTTTTGGAACTGAAATAGGCTAAAATCGTTGAAATGAGAAAAAGAGCGGGCGTGCATCAGGACCGTAGATGGTGTGAATGAACTTACTTGACGTATAAGCTCAAGAGAGGGATATCAGGACCGTAGATGGTGTTTTTGTGGTTGACTTGGAGGTGGGCAATAAGTCCACCATCGGAGGATTCATCAATGGAGATGAGACGGTAGCCATTGCCAATTACAGGGGATTGGGAAGAAGAAGAAGCTGCAGAAGATGATGAGATGAGGATGGGAAGAAGAAGAAGAAGAAGAAGAAGGAGCATGGTGGTAGCTACAGAGAGAGATGGATATGGCAGATGTGTATAAATAGGAAAAAGGGAGGGAAGAGGGAGGAGTATGGAGGAAATGATTGTTTAAGTTGGCACAAAGAATTCATGACTCCTTTCATCTTGCCAATAATACATTTTTATTATATTATATGTAATTTATGTTTTAATAAAATGTGAGATATATAAAATTCTTTATATCCTAACGACTCTTTATAAAAAGTTATTGCTTATCTTTTAATATTACAAAAATAAATAATATTTTATAAGTTAACGGTATAATTAATATTGTAAATTTTAAGATATAGAAACCGTTTGAGATGAACGTAATATTTTTTTTTTTTTAAATCTTGATTTTTGACTTTTTATTTTGAAAAATCTGTTGATGATGTTTCAATGATCATTTATTTAAAACACTTATCGGGTCAATAATCTAATTGAATAAAAATGACAAAGGATTATGAAGCTTACTTGACAAGAGAAATGACAATAATCAAGATTTTTACCTAGTAAATGAGATAGAAGACTTTTACCAAATTAACGTCAACTAAATAAGAGAGCTTACAAACAATCCATTTTTATAGTTTATCATAAACAACAAGTTTATAATCCCCTTGTGGTCAAGGAGGTTCAAATGCGGTGACTCCGGGCTATCTGCAAAGCATGTGGTCATCCTAGAATTAGTCGACTCGTATAGCAGGTTGGATATATGGGTTAATAAAAAAAAACATACCTTATATTTTTTTCAATTATTAGTCATTGGTTTAGTAAGCGAGATATAGGGAATGTTTGGTTAGAGGTATTAAATAGTAATCAATAAAAATATAAGTAAAAAAAATTGTTTGATTTTTTATAATATAATGAGTTCATTCTCTTATAATTCCAAAATTTCATTTCTCATTAAACTGTAAAAAAGTTAATTAAAAGTATAGGATGCTAATGATGATTTTAAACTAACGATTCAATTACCAAATGATCTATGCAAATTGTTTGATTTATATTTGTATTTAGACTCTCTCTTTTTCGACAAAACTTATATTAGGCTTTAAAAATCTAATTATTATAATTATAAAAAATATATATATAGAGTTTGTTTCAAATACAACTCATCGTATTTATATAATCAATACAACCCAATAAATTGAGATATTTATACATGAAAAAAAAACATATCCTTCGATTGGGGTAAGATGAGTCGGTGGAATCTAATATTGAAGGTGTGAGGGGCACAAGTGAAGTGTGGTTGTATACCATTCATGAAATATTTAATAATAAAGGTCGTTCGTTACCTATTAAAAATTAATTTTCTAAATCAATTAAATGATTTCATTAATTACAAATATGAAAGTCATTCTTTAAAGTTTAAACCTAGTTCATACTTAAGATTACGCACACGTGTTACACAGCATCTCTATTTGAAAAGACAATTTCTATAATAAGAAATTCATGATTATTATATTTTTTATTAATAAAAGAATTATTTTATCATAGATTTATCAAAAATTTGTAATTTGTATTTCATGTTAAACTTGGTTAAATATTGGATTTTGTACGAATCTCCGAGCCTAAGTTACAATACAACAATGCATGATGTACAAAAGAGGGTCCTGGCCACTTTAGCCGCAGGCTTGGTCACGTCGGCCGTATGTCACATCGTTCCACGGTCCAATGAAGATAAATCGTTCGTGCACTAGGTCTCAGCACAAAGATGCAATCTGCAACCACGTTTTATATGACGTGGATGTAGTGCGGACGCCCGTGAGGATTAAATGTTTTTTTGGGCATGCACGCTTCTTGGTGACGTATTATTTTTTCCCTTTTGGTTTTTTTTTTTTTTTTATTTCATGTATATCTTCACAGTGAAAACTTCAAATTCAGATGTTTTGAAGCTTGTTCAATTTTCTGTACTGTTTTTGTACCAACAACGATGGATGCACTGCCCTTGGAAAAATACCATCGGATCAAAATAAAAATTAAAGGCCCAAAAAGTGAGTCAAAGGCTTTACTTAGATAGCCGGGCTAAAATGCCTAAGAGAAAAGCCCATTTCCTAAAAGTCACAACTCACAAGCCATTCTTTCTAGAGATAGTTAGGTAGGGTTTATTTTCTTAAATGGTGTTGAAATCTTATTTCAGTTTTGATTTATTAAAAAATGGTGTTGAAATCTCAAAGCTGAATCGATATGACTGTTTGTTTTTGTAAACTGATAAATGTCTGAATTTGTTTAAATTGTCTATTTTACCTATTATACAATTTTACATATTTATTCATCATCGTTACAAAATTTACATCTAAATTACATAATTAGCATTTATTTACACGAAGATATGTCATTGACAGAATTTAACATATTAAAATATATCAATTGAGAGAGGCGAAGATTGATTTAGTAAAGATCTATTGAGAGAAATGATCGATTAAGGTTAATCGATTGAGAAACGTCATTGTTGATGGGTTTGAAAAACCAATAAGAGGCAAATAAGAGGTTGGTTTACCTCTTACCAGATAAGAGAACAATAAGAGATAAATACTTCTGAAAAAATAAAAAATAAAAACAAACAGTCTGAATGACCCTAACTCTTAACGAATCAAATGTAAGAGGCTTATAAGAGCTTTTTTGTATAAAACAAACAAGACCTTAGATATGGTTAAAAATTAGTCCCTTCAAAACTCGACAAATCGATCCTTGTCCCGGTCCAAACCAAAAAATTTAGGGCCAATCCAAGTCCAATTATTGTTATCGGTCCCATCGGGTAGGTCCCAAATCCAGTTATGGTTTGGCCCGGTTAAAAAATATAAATTTTTTATAATTACGATTGTTGGAATTTAGTGTTGAAATACATTTTTAATAATATATTTAAGTAGATAAAATCTTAAAAACTTCAAAAAATTATAAAGAACTTGAATTTTTTGATTTTTTTTTTGAAAGAATCGGGTCTATACAAAACCGGTCCCGGCCCCCAAAAAGACCATGATATTCCCTAAAATATGAAATCGGTTTCAAATCGTTCGGCCATAAACCGATCCCCTATCGATCTTAATCAATCTCAGGCAGGGCCAAGCCCTATTTAACCATCTCTACTCTTATACAACTAGTATCAATTGAGGTGTGCATTTGATCTTTGTTTAAATTTGATAATAAAAAATTTAAAAATGATTGATTTATTTATAACTATATTATAAAGCATTTGACAAAAGTTTTTAAAAAACAAATTTTTATGCATGAAGTACTGTTTATTGATGCATATTACTTAAAATTTAAAATTACAAGTAATTTAACGTAAATACAACTTATTAAAGCTACATTTTTTAATTCATGTAACTAACTACAGAATAAACATAATCAAATATAGGATAAACATATAATTCAAATATAGAAAATTTAAAATATAATTAAGATAATCATTGAGTTATAACAAAATGTTTAATTATTATTTTTATAAATAAATTATATTGTTAAACTACAAATAAATTACTTTGTTACTAAATCTAAATTAAATTATAATAAAAAAATTGAATTAAAGAAGTTACACAAAAAAACGAGATATATTAAATAGTTAATTTGATACTAATATCGATTTATTTTTTTTCAAATTTTTATGTTATCTTCAAATTTATATTTCATTCAAAAATACAAACATTATCGTTTTTTCAAAACCACATAAAATCGTATTATATCGATAGAGACAAAGAATAAAAAATAAATATTAAAATCGAGATTTATCTCGCTGTATTATGCGAGTATCTTTCTAGTAATAAAAAATAGGGAATATAAAGATGACAACAATTACAAAAATTAAAAGTTTTGAGTATGATACACGAATATTATATGCCGTCAAAAAGGGATAGCTTTTTCGTGATATTCAGTGACCAACAGAGCATTTTGATTCATGGGTGTAAATGAAAGTGACATGAATTGAGTCTCGGTACACTAATATGAGTAGTTTTCTTTTTAACCACAAGAGTGATATTTAATTGGTATCAGTTTGAGTTTTAAAGGTCAAAAATACCTATAGTATCCAGGTTTGAATCCTAGGAGAAATAGAAATTCCCTTGTGGTTACGGATGTTTAAATGCGGTGACTTCAGACTACCGGCAAAGTGGGTGGTCGTCATAAGATTAGTCAGCTCGCATAACGAGTTGGATATACAAGTTAATAAAAAAAATATGAGTAGTTTTATGGTGTTACACATGAATTGTTGCTTTAATTTAAAATTTAAATGATAATAAAGTAGCTTTATAAATTTATGAAATCGTCTTAAACTTTATTTATTCTAAATTTGTCTAGATATTTACAATATCACTTGATTATTATTTTTTTGTCATCACATCAACGAATATTATTTCTATGAACATTAAACCCCTTCATCCCTATCTTCGACACAGTTCTCTTCTAGTGAACCCTTCAACCACCACCACCCAAAAAGGTAAACAGAACTAAGCAAAAGCTATGCACAATTGAGTGTATTTCACCAAATCAGTGTACGAAATCTCTAAAATCAAATCAAACCAAACCCTAACTAAACCATGCATAGGGCAGTGATGCAGACGAACAAATTTCGAACAACCTAAATCCAATACGTTTTAATGAGCAAACCGAATCCAATATATTTTAATAGACGAACCTAATCCAATATGTTTCGAAACAAACCAAATCCAATATGTTGCGATGGCACGTGCAAATGAAGACCAACGATAGATTTGAATTTGGAATATGGAAGATGTCGTCTCTTTTGACGGCCTTTATCAGAAGCAACTGAGCAATAACAAATCCAAGATGTCGTCCCTAAGAAGGGTGGATGGAGAGAAATCACAAGATTCCGAGTGGAAGTAACTTTCATTCTTTGTTCAGCACCCCAATCTGATGTCTTACGTTAGGAGAAGGGGCCAAGAGTTTCATCAAAGAAAAGGAAAGTTGTATTGTTAAGCCATCGGCAATAATAAATCTTAAGAGATTTTGCAAATATCAAGAACAAATTTGAAAATAAATAAAATTCT